TCCTTTCCTTTCCTTTCCTTCTTCCCTTCCCTTCCCCATCTTACTTCCTTTTTCCTTCCCTTCCTTTCCCCCATCCTTCCCTTTCCGATGCTTTCCTTCCCCATCCTTTCCTTTCCATTCCTTCTTCGCTTCCCCATCTTACTTCCTTTTTCTTTTCCCTTTCATTTTTTCCTTTCCTCTCTCCTTTCCTTTCCCCTTCTTCTTCTTCTTTCCCTTCCCTCTTCTCACCAAGAGAAGTCCAATCAAATAGAACCAAGGAACTCCGGGGTTTTCTTTCCTTTCATCCTGAATTGCAAATAACCTGGAGAGATTTGAAGAGGGTGCCAAGAAAAATACCCACCAAAGAAGAGACTGTCTGAATTCTGCACCCGATGACATCGACCACAATTTTCAGGGTGAAAAATGAGGGACCCCATTTTCCTCAGCCTATTTCTATGCCAGCATCAACCAAAACTTTTTCTGGGACATCACAAAACTAAATGAAAATTAAGCTGTGGGGTGTAAAAATTAAATACTGAGATAAACACTACAACAGGTGAGACAATATAATATGATTCACAACAGAAGGAACAGTTCATATAATTTGAAAGCTGCAAGGGAAGCTTTGTTTCAGTTTTTACAATGTTTACATACCCTCATTTGGCTTCTAAACCAGTTTGTGAATTTTCTCCCAAACTATCCACTCCCCAAAATCCAGTAATACATATAATTGGGTGTTTCTCTACTGTGTATGCTTTTCTCCATAATGTATATTTATGTTATATAAATTATACGGTTTCTAAGGTTTGCTTTAGGTATGCAACTTTGAATAGAGAGAAATATGTGCTGACATTTGTAAAATGTGAATAAGAGGGCATGGGAGGGAAGGAAAGGGAAAGGAAGGGTAAGGAAGGGAAAGGAAAGGGAAAGAAGGGAAGAACAGAGGGGAAGAAGGAGAGGAGAGAAGATAAGAGAAAAGAAAAAGGGATGGATGGAACAAATGGATGGATGGACTGTGAGGGGAGGCAGAGGAGGAGAGAAGAGAAGGTGAGGGAAGGGAAGGGAACAAAAGAGAAAAGAAAATGGATGGATGGATGGATGGACTGGGAGGGGAGGGGGAGGAGAGAGGAGGGGAGGGAAGGGAAGGGAAGGGAAGGGAAGGGAAGAGGATGGATGGATGGACTGTGAGACATTAGGTTCCTTAAAACTTTTTGAGTCTATGTCTATGTGAAAATTTTCAGAAAAGAGGAACATTTAGGCAAGAAAAACCAAATGCACAAATATAGAATAGGTGGCACCTGGTTCAACAATAATAAGGGTGAGAGGGAACTTGAAGTCCTAGAAGACAATCACTTAATTAGGAGCCATCCATGTGCTGCAGCTGCCAAAAGGGCCAACACAGTTCTAGGCTGCATAAACAGAGGGTAAGAATCAAGATCACCTGAAGTGTTAATACCACTTCATAAGGCCTTGAAGGCCACACTTGGAATTCTATGCCCAGTTTTGGTCTCCAGGATGTAAAAAAAGATGTTGAGACTCTAGAAAGAGTGCAGAGAAGAGCAACAAAGAGGATTAGGGGACTGGAGGCTAAAACCGTATGAAGCTAAAATATATGAAGAATGATTGCTGGAATTAGGTATGTCTAGTTTAATGGAAAAGACAAGGAGTGACATGATAGCAGTCTTCCAATATTTGAGAAGCTGCTACAAAGAGGAGGAGGTCAATTGATTCTCCAAAGCCCTGGAAGGCAGGATAAAAAGCAATGGGCATAAACTAATCGAGGAGAGAAGCAACCTAGAATTAAGGAGAGATTTCCTGACAGTGAGAACAATTAATCAGTGGAACAATTTGCCTTCAGAAATTGTGGGTGCCCCAAACATTGGAAGTATTTAAGAAGAGATTGGACAACCATTTATCTGAAATGGGATAGGGTTTACTGCTTAAGCAGGTGGTTGGACTAGAAGATTTCTAAAGTCCCTTCCAACTCTGTTATTCTGTTCAAGTGGATCAGACAATACAGTGCCCCACTTCCTGCTTCCTGCTTCTTTTACCAACATTTGGACACCCTCAAGAATCAGGCCGGACCCAACTAAATAAACACTTTCTCTGTAATGTCCTGATGCACATCACAAGGGGCGTTAATTATCACCAGAATTATTAAGGCTATATCTCTGGTTTTTTTTGAGCCACCGCCCTTTTGGGAAGAGACATTCTAAAGATGCCCAACCATGTATTAATCCTTCTCGATCCTCCTTCGAGACGGCTGGTGGCTTTTCAGTGGCCAGGATGATTTCCCCAGGAGGACGATTCTGTCTGGTGCCCAAGCTCGAAGGTGTTTCTGAATTAAACGGACTTCTAGAAGTACTTGCTCATTCTCCAGGAAACCACCGTACTTCCATCGCTGTTGAGGTCTTCTTCTGATCTTCCCCTTTGGGTTCCTGGCCTTTTCCCCACCCCCCCTCGGGTTAATTTTCAGAAAGGGGAACGACGTGGCTCTGCCAACAGGAAACGTGGTTGCAGGTTGGGTACGGCTTGTTCTCGGTCAGCGGGCAACGTCCCACCGACTTCTCTTGTTGCCATAGCCTCATGGCCATCAAGTGGGTGACCACCATGACTTTCTGCATACAGAGAGGGCAGGTTTTATTTCTGGCTTGGGTGATGTGCCAGAGGTCGATGCACCTGCTGTGAAAGGCGTGGGAACACGAGAGCACCTTCACGCCGTCATACTGCAGGTAGCGGTCCAAGCAAATGGCGCATTCTTGGTATTTGGAGCCGGTCAACGAAAGGCGGACCGGTTCATTGGCGTATTCTTGGAGAAGGCGGTTTCGCCTCATTCTTTTTCTCTTGCTCCAGGATAGATAGTGCTCCGTCAGCATCATGGCAATAAAGGTGGCGGACGTGGTAAGGCAGACAACCCAACAGGTGTAGAACATGGCAATCTGGCAACAAAAGCCAGCCGGCTGGAGGAGACAGTGGCAGGAGCTTCGTACCACCTTGAGATGGGAGGTCCGAGAAGCAACTTTCCAGGCGAAATGAAAAGGTCCATGCCTTGGGAGGGCGAGAAGGGACTTCCCAGAGCGACGTAGATGTTTGAGGATCCTGGCTGTCTCTTCCGCGGAGAACACAGCTGGGATGTGAAGGTGCCACTGGGTTCCCGGCTCAGTCACCAGTTTCTCCAGCATTTGGGAACTTACGTTGCGCACCAAGGCGGTGTGGGAGCCCACTTGTTGGGCGTGAAAGGTCTTCTTGGAGAAGGAGCAGTTGTGTTGACGGAAGAGGACCACAAAGAGGGAGGAGGACAGCAGCGGCGGCGGCCCTTGGAGGCGATGGTCAGGGTTCAAGGGCTTCACCGTCACCCAAAGGCCCAGGAGCCCCTTGGGAGGGAGCAGAGGCTGAAAGAAAGCTGGTAGAACCTCGACATCTAGCGAGGTGGAGTTAGGGTGGCAAGTGGCATGGCTGAAGGCCTTGGTGGGGATGACTTGGAGAATCAAGAACGGAGTAACCGTGCGCCAAGACCACGACAATGGAAATCTCATGCTGGTTGAAGGTCCTGAAGATCTTAGCAGGGGCTTGGTCCTCCTCGAAGGTCAACAGGGTAGATGTGCAACCGAGGGGAGAAATGCTCTTATCTTCCAGAAGAAGACCTGTAGCTTCTAGATGGATGAGCTTCCATAGATCCAAGAGCTATAGGTGAAGTTGACATATAGATCTGGGTCTTCTTGACCTCCACCCCTCTCAGCAGGCGTGGCCTGCCGGTTGCTGCCAAGCGATTACTCTGCTCTTCCTCCAGGTTACCTTCAAGATGTTTCTTCAGTTGGTCCTTTGTGACCTCATCATGCTGTCTTCCCCACCATTTCTCCTTCCCTCCCCTCCCCTCCCATGGTAACTCACTAGTTACCTTATTCCTCTGCCATGGGAACTGGAGGTGGTTGTCATCTTTGAGAAGAGTTAACTATAGGGAGAACTATTCTTCCACCATTGGTAGTCTTCACTAGGAAAAGAAATCCATTAATCCTCCTCCTCCTCCTCCTCCTCCTCCTCCTCCTCCTCTTCCCTTTCTTCTTTTTCTCCTTCTCTTTCTCTCCTGCTCCCCATCCTTTTTCTCCTCTTCCTTCTTCTCCCACTCCTCCCATTCTTCTTCTTTCTTCCTCTTCCTTCTACAGATTTACAGATTAACAGAGTTGGAAGGGATCTTGTAGGTCATCTAGTCCAACCTCCCGCCCAAGCAGGAGACCCTACACCATTTCTGACAGATGGCAGTCCAATCTCTCCTCCTCCTCCTCCTCTCCCTCCCATTCTTTTTCTCTTTCTCCTCCCTCTCCTTCTTCTTCTCATCCTTTCTCCTTCCCTTCTCTCCTCCTCCCCATCTTTTCCTCTTCCTTCTTTTCGTTCTCCTATCCTCCTCCCATCCTTCTCCTCCCTTTTCCTCTCATTCTCCTCCTCCTCCCCTCCTTCTTCTTCTCATCCTTTCTCCTTCCCTTGTCTGCTCCTCCCCATCTTTTTCCCTCTTTTTCCTTCTCCTATCCTCCTCCCATCCTCATCCTCCTCTCCCTCCCATTTGTCTTCTCTTTCTCCTCCCCTCCCCTCTCATTCTCCTTCCCCTCTCCCTCCTCCTCCTTTCTCCTTCTCGTCTCTCCTCCTCCCCATCTTTTCTTCCTTCTTTTCCTTCTCTTATCCTCCTCCCATCCTTCTCTCCCTCCTATTTGTCTTCTCTTTCTCTTTCTTCCCATCCTCCCCTCCTCTTTCTCATCCTTTCTACTTCTCTCCTTCTCCCCATCTTCCTTCTTTGCCTTCTCCTATCTTCCTCCTTTCTCCTCCTTCTCCTCCCATTCTTCTTCTCCTTCTCCTTCTCAATTTCTTTCCTTATTATTTCTTTGTTAGACTGGAGGACTACTCTTGAAAACATCGCATTGGAGAAATTCCTTTATGGTTCTTCTCCAGGATTATTGGATAGCCACAAGCCAGGCAGATTGCAGAGACAAGCCCGTGCAGTGAGTTTGTTCATCTCCATGCTCCTTGGCCCTGGCGTCGCCCCACAAAAAAAACAAGGCCAAAAATTTCACAGTTCACTTAGAAGAATTTCATCCCCATTCTTTTCTTCTTAGAGAACGTCCAGAGCAATTTCGGTCTGGCATAAGGAATGAGTTTCAATTGAAAGAAAGAAAAACGCAGGAAAATATCTGTGTCCAGAGCAATTTAGAATGCTTTGGACATCTGCATGACTTGGCCCGCCCAAAGGACAGAAATGTAATTTATGAGTTTTGAAGTCAAAATGCTCGCTTTCCTTCCATGACAATCAGGGCTTGTTTTCCTTGTACCAAATAAAACAAGATTGCAAAATTATCTTGGAAAGAGGGCAAATATGGTGGGATGAACATTCTCAAGCAGAGCTTAGATTTTTGCAGTTGTCAAAAGGTGGGAGAAAAAAGAGAAGGTGGGGAAGGGAAGGAAATATGGATTGTAAATTTTCTTTCAATCCCTGAACCTGTTTCTTCTTCCTGTCCCCACTAAAATTAGAAGCTGTTTTTACGACCTTTCTTTCCATAGTCTTGCCCTATAGGGAATGTTTGAGTTCATAGTTTCACAGTCTGGCACTGATCCCAGACTTTTTTTAAAAAAACAAACACTTGGGTTAGGGGGAAAAATAACAGAATGCTAAATTGCCTTCACGACATCTACTGTAACTAGATAAAACATCATGTGTTTTTGATCAGGGTTAAAAGAAGGAAAGAACAGAATAACAGAGTTGGAAGGGACCTTGGAGGTCTTCTAGTCCAACCCCCACCCCCCCTTAGGCAGGAAACCCTATATCATTTCAAACAAATGGTTTGTCAAGCCCGAAATTGACATATGCGTAGCCATTTTATTTAGCCTTATTATATATTCTTTTTCTTTCTTTTCTCTTTGCTGGTTATGGGGGGAAGGGTTTCGGGCTTGCCACATTCCTAAGGTGGGAGGAGTGGAGATAGAGAGAGTTGTTTAGGCTAGGCGGTTCTTCTTCCCGTGGGAACAAAAGCTGATCCTGCTGAGACCTGGAGGTGGAGATTGATGACAACAGGCAACGTTGATTTCCTTCTGTTGGGGAATGTGACTTTTGGGGGGTTGTTTCTAATTTCCAATATTATGTGGTGTAATTCCGGGTTGTGTGTCAGATCCGGAATTACCACAGACTTTGCCAATTTGATGCTTTCCTAAATAAAATAAATATTTTTGGAAGATGGACTTTGCTCTTTTCTTTTTAAATGGATTTCATCGCTTGGAAACCTGACATGGTCATCCAATCTCTTCTTAAAAACTTCCAGTGTTGGAAGTTCTCCAACTTCTGGAGGCAAATTGTTCCACTGATTAATTTTTCTCACCATCAGGAGATTCCTCCTTAGTTCCAGGTTCCTTCTCTCCATGATTAGTTTCCATCCGTTGCTTCTTGTCCTTCCCTCAGATGCCTTGGAGAATAGCTGGACTCCAGTGGTGGGATTCTACCAGTTTGGCCCAGTTCGGAAGGCATCTGCAGCCGATAACAGAGCTCTATTATTGGCTGCAGAAGGCTTTCTGGAAGGCTCTGGCAGTGAAACGGAGGCTGGTGGGGGCACTGCACACGGCAATTTGGAGCCCGTTTCATAGCTGCAGAGAGCTTTCCAGAAGATGCCTTCCGGCAGACTGAGGCGATGCGTGTGAGTGGCGGCAAACAGCAGAAGTGGGCCAACAGTGGGCTCCTGCAGGGAGGGGCTGTCAGTGCCACCTCCGCGAGGTGAGTCAATGGTCAGGATTCCGGCAGTTATCTCCATTTCAATCATGAGTCTCAAGCCAAACTTCCAAAACTTAAAAAGGATTTATTGAGAGTTAACATGTCCGGCACCGCCTGGGTATAGCCGACTCTGAGACACGTCATTCATTGTCACCCTTGACCCTGGTTTTCCCCCACCCCCTGGGTGTATCGTAATTCATATCCTCCAATGGGACACATCCATAGCCAAGAGTCATCAATCATGCTCTCCAGAAAGAATTTTGTGTGGCAGAAACTTCAATCACCTAATTACTACCTTTGAAAACTATTTATGGAATGCACTTTTGGTTTGCAAGCTGACGCACTGCTCCCCCATCCCTTTCTGTTGGCAACTCTAAAAAGACCATAGAAATATTTTATGAGTTGACATCAATTATTAGAACCCGCCAAAAAGAAGGCCTAGCCATTTTGTCAGGGGTCAAAAGAAAAGACCCGGCCTTCTTTTGGTAGAAACATGGTAATGGTCTCCTTTCCATGCATGAACCAAGTTCAGTCAAAATCACTTAGGGGTTGCTTGTTTGCTGGGCCCAGTACAACCCTGTCCTTGAACGATGGGTTTCCGGTTCTTTCTGAATGCACAATAAAAGGATTCATGAACATGAAGACAAAAACCATGGAATGTCATTGCAAGGTTCAAATTTTAGGTTTTTGTGTTTTTTTAAAAAAAACCTCTTTATATTTCCAAATTCTTCTTCTATCTTCCATCCATCTGTTAACACAATTCTTTATTCTTCTCTGTTATAGTCTTTTGGGGTAAGTACAAATAAAATAAATTCTTCTCACCCTTCTCCAAACACCATTCCCAATCTCCACTCCAGCACTGCACTTAGATGTTCCTTGGCTATCCTAACTTTGTAGCAGCCATCTTGGCCCACTCTTCTCCCCGTCATGGCATAGACAGCAAGCTCAGGTTTTCTACAGGGGAATTGCGTTCTCCCATGGGACCCCACTGGGCGCCTCTCCTTAGCTTCGCCGCCCCTCCAAGGCGGCTTTCAGCTTCATCCGAAGTACACAAACGGCGAGAAGCCAGGGCAGGAATGGAAACCTCAGTTCGCTGCTTCTGGTCTTGTCGCAACGTCAGCCGGAAGTCAAATGTCATTGCAAGGTTAAACTAGATATGAGAAGACTAGAGCTTTCTACTTCCCCTTCAGTACCAGAAGCTCATTGGCTGATTTTGGGCCAGAACCCTCCTTCTCAGTCCAAGAACCAATCAGGTGCAGTGGAGGAGGAGCTGAACTAGGAAGGGGAACGCCTAGGTTTCTAATCTCCCCCTCTTCAGCCTTCAAACCTGATTGGCTGACTTTGGGTAAGTCCCTCCCTCTGATTCTGACCCAGTGGTGGGATTCAAAATTATTTACTACCAGTTCTGTGGGCGTGGCTTGGTGGGCATAGCTTGGTAGGCATGGCAGGGAAAGGATACTGCAAAATCCCATTCCCTCCACACCCCACTAACCTGATTTCCAGCTCCATTCTCCTGTGCAGGGCAACAGAAGAAGACCCAGCCGATCAGCAGGCACTCAGTGGGAGGTGGAGAATAGATGGGGCGGGGGCAGTCAGAGGTGGGATTTGCCAGTTCTCTGAACTACTCAAAATTTCCACTACTGGTTCTCCAGAACTGATCAGAACCTGCTGAATACCACCTCTGGTCTGACCTACCTCAAAGGGTTGTTGTGAGATTTATTAAAACTTCTTTTAGGACCTGAAGAAAAGGTGAGAAACAGATTTAACAGATTTCAGAACTACAGGTAGTCCTCGACGTACAACCACAACTGAGCCTAAAGTTCCCATTTGTGAAGTGAATTCTGCCCCGTTTTACAACTTTCCTTGCCACCGTTGTGAAGTGAATCACTGCAGTTGTTCACTTAGTCACCCAGTCACTAAATGAATCCGGCTTTCCCCATTGACTTTGTTTGTCAGAAGGTCACAAAAGGGGATCATGTGACCCCAGGACACTGTGACCGTCATAAATATGAGTCAATTGTCAAGCATCTGAATTTTGATCATGTGACCATGGAGGTATGCTGCAACGGTCTTAAGTGCGAAAAAATGGTCGTAGGTCATTTTTTTTCCAATGCTGTTGTAACTTTGAACAGTTATTAAATGACCTATTGTAAGTCGAGGATACAATATTCATATTGTATAGTGCAATATTCATGCAATATCAGGTTTTCAATTCAATTATATAGAATGTGAAGGATGTGCGTTTGTGTTTTCTTTTCATAGTTATCATGAAAATAAAACTGAAGATGGCATTTAATTTTGTTGCACGAGGTGCAAAGACAATGAAGAAAAACTCAACTAAACTAGGATTGTGAGTAGTCTTCAAGCTGCAAAGCGACAGGATTCCAATGTTTTTCAGTCCAAACGTGTCTCCTGAGCAACTTTACCTTCACTCTAAATTCACCTTCACCTAGGATGGCATTGGAGCTACGGGAAGGTCTGCCAATGCAAATTAAGTAACCACGGAGGGGGAAAAAACATGGATTTGCATACCAAAGTCCCCTCAACAGACTTCACATGCAACCGGCAATAGTTGAGTTTCACCCCTAAAGTAAGTCACAGATTTGCCGAGCGGTGCAGAAAAAAGAGACATAATTCATGTCATTTACAGGAATTTATCTCTTTGGCATCGCTGTGTGATTACTCAGATGGCATAAAACCAAGCAAATGATGTAAATTAATCCTGCAAATTCATATTTGGGGGAGGTTGGTCTCCTATTGATGCTTTTCCACAATTAGTTCAGGCTCCTGTTCTGTTCCTATTCTACTCTACTCTATTCTACTCTACTTTACTCCACTCCACTCCACTCCACTCCACTCCTCTTCCCTTCCCTTCCCTTCCATTCCGTTCCGTTCTGTTCCGTTCTGTTCTGTTCTCTTCTGTTCCGTTCTGTTCTGTTCTTCATTCCTTCTATTCTGTCCTGTCCTGTCCTGTCCTATCCTATCAAATCCTATCCTATCCCTATCCCTATTCCTAATCTGTATTGTATTGTATTGTGTTCTATTCTATATTCTGTATTGTATTGTATTGCATTGTATGTATTCTCTATTCTGTATTGTATGTATTCTCTATTCTGTATTGTATTGTGTTGTGTTCTGTTCTCTATTCTGTATGATATTCTGTCCTGTTTCTGTTCCTCTTCTCTCCTCTTCTCTCCTCTTCTCTTCTCTCTCTTCTCTTCTCTTCTCTTCTCTTCTCTTCTCTTCTCTTCTCTTCTCTTCTCTTCTCTTCTCTTCTAATCTTTATCTATTCTATTCTATTCTATTCTATTCTATTCTATTCTATTCTATTC